TTGATATGCTTGATGCTAATTACGATTTCTCGGTAAACGAACGAAAGTCAATGGCATTGTGACACGATAGGCTAATTGAAGCCGTTATCTCAGACCCCGCTAACTAGAATGAGTGGTCCAAGACGAATTAGGGGAAAATATATCCCGTAAACAGACGAAGTAAAAGCAATCACAATAAGAAAAAATCAAACCTATTTATACAGTACAAAGTTGACCTTGGGAAGTAATACAAAATAGCACACTAAAAAGATACAACCGACCAATAACGTTTAAGATATTTCCAGATGGGAAATACTACTCGAAGGTGAAAAAAGAACTTTTGGCGCGAAAACAAGGAAATTCAAATTTTCAAAATAAAATTACAAAAATAAGTTCTGGAGATTTAACATTCCATACAACCTTCTTTCTGACTACGATTATACTTTTAGACTTTATATATATGAAATTAATTAGCTGTATTTCATCTGATCTTCTCTGGGGCATGTAAGTATGACTAACTGTAATTAAATTCACTTAGTATTGTTTGTTTGAATCTTCCCATCGATGTGTTAGGACTGCAACTGGTCAGTCTCTAATTGTCATATGTGCATACTGTGCATATTGCCTCGATATAGCCTTAATTTACAAGCATTGTAAGCAAAGATGGATAGTGGCCAACAGTGAAATCCAGTTCGACGCTTGTTTCGTCCTATTTGGGACTCGTCAGCTGGCCGATTGGATAACGCGATGGCTTTTGAAGCGAAAGGTACTGGGTTGGAGTCTCAGAGTGAACATCAAATCTGAGATGCAGGTGACGATTCCCAAATAGAACGAAACGAGCGTCCTTTATTCTACTGCTAGTCACTATCCATATTAGCTTATAATAACTGTAATTGTTTATGTAATGTATAAACTATCCGTCGTCAGAATGATATAGCTAGACAAAAACAAACGTATGTATACTACTATATATAGGCATTAATCTTCATTCTTTAAACGTAATAATAATGCTTATTCCTCTATATGATAACTAAACCAAATCAAAAGACTCCTAAACTACTTCATTTCCCACAATATAATCATATTTGCATTGATACACTACTGATACTTCTACTACTACTACTACTACTACTACTACTACTACTACTACTACTACTACTACTACTACTACTACTACTATTACGCCTATTTTTTAATCAATATTCTCTCATCATCTAATAAACAGTCTAGAAGCGGTTAATTCTTCTTCTTCTTCTCCTGATGATGATGATGATGATGATGATGATGATGATGATGATGATGATGATGATGATGATGATGATGATGATGATGATGATGATGATGATGATGATGATGATGATGATGATGATGATGATGATGATGATGATGATGATGATGATGATGATGATGATGATGATGATGATGATGATGATGATGATGATGATGATGATGATGATGATGATGATGATGATGATGATGATGATGATGATGATGATGATGATGATGATGATGATGATGATGATGATGATGATGATGATGATGATGATGATGATGATGATGATGATGATGATGATGATGATGATGATGATGATGATGATGATGATGATGATGATGATGATGATGATGATGATGATGATGATGATGATGATGATGATGAAAAATCGCATTTTAAAGAACATCGTAATACACTTCTAAACTACTTCATTTCCCACAATATATTAACATTGCTACACTACTACTATTATTATTACGCCTATTTTTTAATCAATATTCTCTCATCATCTAGTAAACAGGCTAGAAGCGGTTAATTCTTCTTCTTTGGATGATGATGATGATGATGGTGATAATGATGAAAGCAAGGAACAAAAGAAAAATCACGTTTTAAAGAACATCGTAATAGAAAGAAAAAAACCCAACAGACATGAATACCGCTATATGCATTACACCCTTCCGTTTAATCATACATACATCACATACATCATAATGTGTTTTTTGGTGTATGTTTTAAAACTAATCTGTTGATAAACTCTAAGTAATTTTACTCTTACTGATTATTTGACAGTTAGTTATGAGAAGAAGAAAAAAAAGTATAGTAGTCAAAGGAACCAACAAAACTAGATGAAAGAAACTGAGGAGAAAGTTATATTGCTAGGTGATGTTCTCCTCCCCTTTTACTTTTCCCACTTTCTTTACCTCTTCTAAGTGATCATTTCTTCTTTAAAATTTAAAACATTTTCAATTTACCTGTACTAGATTATATAAGAAAGAGAGGCAGTGTGAATCAGATGGGGTGTTTGAGTTTTATTATGAATGTTTCATATATGCTTCTAAACAAGAAAAATCTTATCAGAATAAGGTTTTGTGGAGATTGTTGTAATGTAGTAGTTGAATTCATGGGTTGATTAAAGCCAGACCACCATGGAAAATTTGGAAGTGCTGGACGATTGTTTCGTTCTAGTATGGGACTCTTCAGTAATGAGCATCCACGAAACGGCCATTTAGCGCTATTAAGTTTTCGATGGTGATGTAATCCAATGACAATGACAGTTTTAACATCATTTAAGTGTTTATATGCATGTGTCCTAAACCGAAAGGATATTTTGATTTAAAGTAAAAAGAAACGAAGGACAGTCATCATCGTTATCATCACATCACCTCTTGTGTACATAATCGCAAATTAATTATCGTTAATTCATTTGTATTGATTGTTTGAAATATTCGATTGATGTTCAGCAGTTGAATTATTCAGTTTGTTTTGTAAGTATATATACAGATTACTGTTGAAATTTTCTTGATATTGTAATTAAGCGATGGAGGATTTTGAGTAGAGTTGTATGGTGAGTAGTAGTGTACTGAGAAGCTCGTGTTTCTCCCTATTTTGGACTCTTGAGCTGGATATGCCTAGATCCTAGTGTAAATGTTTACTCTGGTACTCAAAACAGTTCTCTTTAAATGCCATCACGTTATTCATTTAACTGCCGGGTTCAGGTAGCTTCCGGCTTGTGTAGTGAGGTGAATTTTAATACATTTGTATTTAAACATCAACTCTGAAATACAAGTACATCCAGCTGATAAGTTTCAAAGAGGTCGGAACGCATGTCCTAGATTCCACTATTAGTCACTATCCAACTCTGATTACAAATACATATTACGTAATTACTGCTGAATCTGTATTTTCTTTCATGAAACATGTAGATACACATAATTATTTCACGTTGAAGTTACAACGTAAAAAATGAAGCTGATAAACTAACATGTAGTTTTACCAAATCCTAAATGAGCTAAAACAACCAGATCGAAATCAGTTACTCGTGGAGAAGCATAGGCCACCCACCAGGATTCTCCAACCAACTATGTTCTGGGTAATCCTTTCCGATTGCTACTCATCCTTTTGATTTCTGCTTCCAAATCACTGAACAATTTGTTCCTTAGTCTTCCATTTTTCTTTTTACATTCAGGATTTCAAGTAAGCGCCTGTAATGTGATGCAATTTGATGATTTCCCCAATGTATGCTCTATTTAATTCCACCATATTTTCTTAATTTCCTCTTCATCTGGTTACTGGTTTTTTTTCTCCCACAGTAGATTGCTGCTGGTGTCTTCCGATCAACAGATATTGAATATCTTGACTAAACAATTGTTTGTAAATACTTGTACCTTTTTGATGATGGTCATAGTAGTTCTCCACGTTTCAGCTCCGCACAATATAACTGTCTTGACATTCGTATTGAAGATTGTGACTTTGATATTAGTTGATAGTTGTTTTATGTTCTATATTTTCTTCAGTTGTCGAAATGCTGTCCTTACTTTGCCAATCCTTGCCTTTACGTCTGCATCCGATCCTCCTTGTTCATCGATGATACCGTCCAATTGGTACATGAAAGTTTCCACCTCTTCCAGAGTTTCTTCACCAATTGTGATTGTGTTCGTGTTCTCCGTGTTCTATCTGAGGATCTTGCTTTTTCCATTGCTAAAAAACGCTAACCAAAATAAAATCAACCCTACGGAATGAATTAAGTTGGAATGAAGTCTATTTACTTAAAAAAATGAAGTGCCCGCCACAAGTTTCGATAATTATCACTGTAATTTTATGTGACCGAGTCAAAATATCTTTTCTAACCTTTTTAGAGCATACAATAATAAACTAATTCAATAGTTGTATTCATGAGTCAATTAAAGCTAGATCTTTGATTAATTTCGATAGTGTAATAAGAAGATGAAGATGAGGTGTCCCATAATAGGACGAAACGGCCGTCTAGTGCTTACAGGTTTTCCATGATGGTCTAGCTTCAATGGACTCATGATTTCAACTATGAAAGATGAAGATTATCAGAACTATGTGACATATTAGCGTAATACATTTTGAACAATCTGATCACACGTATATTTGTTAAGAACGTTTATATATCAAAATAAAAGGTCAACTAGACTGGAAATAGGGGGGTAAGAGTAGATAAGGATAATAATAATAATAAAAATAATGTAAAAACAATTTGAAACCTAATCACTCTGGATAATAAGGTAATATTACCAGGGTAAGTTTAAGGTGAGAACAAACTGTTTTTAAATACACAAAGGGGGTTTGAATTTTCGTATGGATGAGGCTTCAATAAACCTTAGTATACGCTCTTTTACACTTTTATACAACACTACAAAAGCCGAGTTTAGATCAATCTTATGTCCACCATGGAAAACCTAAAATTAATAGGCAGCCATTTCACTCTAGTACAAGACTGCTTAACAGTGCAAATTCGAGATCTCGCCCTTGGGATTACAACCTAGAACATATCAGTCTCACGTATGAACACTTAACCTTTAGACCACTGATCCATCATTCAACGACATTAATATCTAATTTTGACCAATTCACGAAATCATACCACCATCCAGTCCTTTCAAATTTTTCACGACGGTTTAGCTTCAATTGATTCAGTAATTTAGATATCAAATTACTAAAATCTCCACAACCCCTTTCCCTTCTGATCATATTATTAATAAATTAATGATAATAATTAACTTACTCCAAGAAATTTATAATGATTATATGTTGCTATATTATCAAATAATATAACTGTATGATTTTTATTACCATTTAAATATTGTACAATTACTTTTAAACATGGAAATTTTGATCGATCTTTTGAACATTTATTTTCACATTTTACATCTTTTCTTACATAATATGCATGAACAAATGTACAATTTGTATGAGTAAATGCTGATTCATGAAAATAGGGTTGTACTACTAAATGAATTAATATACATTCTATTATAAATGTTGTTGTCATAATTGTAGCACATGTTAAATATATAATTTTTATACTATTAATTTGATAAGATTCTGGTAATGATTGACATAATTGTCTAGTAGTCATGATTCATATTTAGTTACTATGGGGATTTATTTTTATTGTAGAATCATTTTTTTTTTAAATTTTTTTTTTGAAGAAAAAATAATAAAAAAAAATAATAAACTAGATCGATAATTTAAAAAAATATTGATCCGTTTAAAGAATAAAGAAAAATGTGCATTTTTATCTTTTTTTTTTTCAAATTAAAATAACAGTAATATGTATAGATATATATATATAAACTAAATGAAGTGATTATTCATTATATAATCAACCAATCAGAAATCGACATGATTTTCTATTATTTTGATTGGTTGAAATATAAATTATTATTGTTTTTGTAAAATTTTCAATTACCGATATGAATTCACTTGGTATTGTTTGTTTGAATCTTCCTATTAGGTTTTGGGATTGCAATTGATCAGTCTCTTATTTGTATATGTGCATCCTGTGCATATTGCGTTGATATTGCTATAATTCACAAGCATTATAAGCAAAGATGGATAGTGGCTAGCAGTGGAATTTGGGATTCGTCAGCTAGATGTACCTGCATTATAAGGTAATATCAAGGCAATAAGCACAGTATGCACATATTCCAATTAGAGACTGACCAGTTGCAGTCCTAAAAACATCAATGAGAAGATTCAAACAATTAATACTAAGAGAATTTAAAATTCACCACATTGTACAAGAAAGTGGCTATCAGGAATCAGTGGGTGAGTGGATAACGCGATTGCGCTTGAAGTGAACAGTACTGAGTTTGAGTCCCAGAGTGAACATTAACTCTGAGATGCAGGTACATCCAGCTGACGAGTCTCAAATAGGACGAAGTCTGCGCCTTTGATTCTACTGCTAGCCAGTGTTCATCTTTGCTTATGATCACAATATATGTCTGTTTGTTTACAAAAAGTAAACAAAAAGATATAACTTAGTATGGACAATAAACGAGAAAAATTTACGATTAAATTAAGCAGAAGAAAATATTACATTTTCTTTTATGTTAGAGGTTTTAAATGAACTTCTCAATAATATTAATAAACGTTAGTATTTGTGAATATCTACTAGTGTGGTGTGGGTTACTTATATCCACATAAGTAGTATATAACAATTGTCGTTCAATAAATGTATTTCACTAGTGGATCGATAATGAAAGAACGGGAATAATACGTAATTGGTATGAAAATTCATGAACATTAATAATCGGAGACGATGGATTGATAGTTGGAGAAGAAACGGTGAAGATTGAAACGATTGATTAATAGTTTGCAAATAAACTACTTACTATACGGTTCTCATATCTTAGTGAAATATTCTGTAAGTTTATGTTTAAATACAATCGATTGTCCCCACTCGTCTTTTTGTTCACTACTCTGGTATTGAACTAGATTTAAAGATGATTGAATATGGAAAACTAACATGTTTATCACTAAGTGATTTGACGTAACTTTTAAAATTTTTTGTATATTCAACTCATCCGCTTTGATGGTTGGTAAATTTATAACACTAGTTAAAAAGAAATAGTAAAAGAAAATACTGTCAGTCTATTGAAATAACGTAATAGTTAGTCTCATCATTTTCATATTCATGAAATGAGATTCAAGCTGATTATCAATTCACTAATAATTATCAGAAGGGTTTTCTGCGGAGATTTAGTATTTTCATGGTTGAAAGTGTGAGTCAATTGAAGCTAGACCACTAGGGAAAACCTGGAAGCACTGGTCGGTCTTGTTCGTGCTATTGAGGAGTCCTACAATAGGACGAAATGGAAGTCCAGTGCTTCCAGGTTTTCCCTGGTGGTCTAGTTTCATTTGACTCACGCTTTCAACTATAAAAATTCACTAATAAATCCACATAGGCCTAACCTTAGAAAAAAACCATGTAAAAGAGGCCGATCAGTAATAATCCGAATTGTTAGTCAATAAAATCAATCAATACTAGTTCAAAGATATATAAAGAATTAGACAAAACTATGAGGACGATCAGTTACAAACAAGGCCATAGGAATGAACTGATATAACGCTTGTAGAATACAGGAAAATATCATACCTGTATGATCATGACATCAACCATTAGCACCGAACTCACGATGTTAATGAAAATAATTATTATAAAACTTTCATTAGTTAAGCATTTATTTTCATGTACTAATCGAAGACGTTTCCGTAATTAATAAAACTTGAATCATGGATGGATCTAATGCAGATGTGAAGACACAGATCGGCGAAGCAAGAGCAGAATATCTATAATTAAAGAACATCTGTAGCTCACAACAATTGTCAACCAACACCAAGATCAGAATTTTCAATATAAATCTCAAGACAGTTCTACTGTATGGGGCGGAGATATGGAAGACTGCGAAATCCATCATCCAGAAGATACAAGTGTTTATTAACAGTTGTCTACTCAAAATACTCCAGATCCGTTGGCCAGACACTATCAGTAACAAGTTACTGTGGGAGACAACAAATCAGATTCCAGTGGAGGAAGAAATCAGGAAGAAGTGCTGGAAGTGGATAAGACAAACATTGATAAAAGCAGCCAACTGCGTTACAAGGCAAGCCGTTACATGGAATCCTAAAGGCCAAAGCAGAATAGGAAAACTGAAGAACACATTACGTCAAAAAATGGAGATAGACATGAGAAGAATGAACAAACGTTGGATAGAACTAAAAAGGAAGGCCCATGACAGAGTAGATTAGAGAATGTTGGTTGGCAGCCTATGCTTCATTCGGAGTAACAGGAGTAAATAAGTAAGTAAACCTCATAAAAGTAACTTAAAGAAACATTCATCATTATCAAATACACATAAAAAATATTGGTAAAGACCAGTCCTCTTTTAATGATCATTTAAATACATGCATCAATACAATCAGTTGGCTCTTTTCCCTATAGATTTTTTTGACAACTTATTATGAAAAATTTTTTTTGTTTTTTTTTTGAAAAATAAAAAAACGACTCACGCAAAAGAAACTTGTCTCCATGAGGATATTTCTCTTTATTTCCTTCTTCTATTATTCAATATGATTAATTAGTTGATGTTTGGTTTCTATTCATTCTTAATAACATTTGATTTTCTTTTCTATTATGTAATTGTCTAATCATGCGTAAATCGGCTAGCCATCATGCAATAAGAATAAGTACAACTAATAGAGTAGTTTGTAATTTCATATCTGTTTGAGTAAATTTCAAATTATTAACATATTCATCTGGATAGAACTAGAAAGGAATGGTCAGGACAGAGTGAATTGAAGAATGCTGGTCGGCGGCCTATGCTCCATTGAGAGTAACAGGCGTAAGTAAGTAAGTAACATATCTATATGTAAATATGTAGTTGTTATGGCATTATCACCAAAGAACACACTGAGTCGAGAGTTGGAAGTAGATATTAAAAGGATGAATAGGCAACTGGAAACAACTGGAAAGGAATGAACACGACAGAGTTAGATGGGAGACCTATGCTCTTCTACGAGGAGTAATAGATGTAAGTAAGTAACTGGGTATCAAATTATCAATCTAAAAGTAAGAATCTCACAACATATACGTACATATCAATGCCAAGGTTAGATTTAATAGTTTCAAATAAATTGAGTATTGGATAGTAAGTTATTAAGAAATATATATTTGCGATATCCCAATGAGTGGAACACATTGTATTTAATCTAACTCTTTTCTTCAGAGTAAATAATAAATAAATAAATAATCCCAGATGCGTACTGCTGAGGAGTCACACAATAGAACGAAATGACAATTCAGTACTTCCAGGTTTTCCATGATTGTCTAGCTTCAATAGATTCATGATCTCATCTATAAAATAACCGAAATAAAATTAACACAAGTTTAATTAATAGTACAAAAGAAACAAAGTTGAATACGTTTTAGTACAATCCAAATTATAATGGGGTCTGAATATGTTCATGTCAAGTTAATCTTGATCAAGTTGAAGTTGTATGACATGTCACCGTATTCATTTGTGCGTCAGAATATGAATATGAAAAATGTATATATTTGTAATATGAAGTAATGGGGTTGAAATTGAGTGTGTGTGTCAATTGGATGTAAAATGAATGTGGTTAATTAGATAAACAGTCCTGACGCACAAATGAATACGGTGACATGTCATACAACTTCAACTTGATCAAGATTAACTTGACATGAACATATTCAGACCCATTATAATTTGGATTGTACTAAAACGTATTCAACTTTGTTTCTTTTGTACTATTAATTAAACTTGTGTTAATTTTATTTCGGTTATTTTATAGATGAGATCATGAATCTATTGAAGCTAGACAATCATGGAAAACCTGGAAGTACTGAATTGTTATTTCGTTCTATTGTGTGACTCCTCAGCAGTACGCATCTGGGATTATTTATTTATTTATTATTTACTCTGAAGAAAAGAGTTAGATTAAATACAATGTGTTCCACTCATTGGGATATCGCAAATATATATTTCTTAATAACTTACTATCCAATACTCAATTTATTTGAAACTATCAAGCCTAACGATTGAGTTCAATCGCTGGTAGATGCACTCTGCTATATAGGCATTTAGTGGCCCTGGATCTGACTCCAGATAAATCGTTTTCTGCTTGTTATCGAATGATTTCTGTCAAAATATGTATGATGGCTATCTTTATATATAATCATTAATTTAAATCGCATTAGTGTATAACGGAATCAAATAAGTCAAATACAGATGAATGTGTGAATACGTATATTTTGTACACTTATTGATCTGGAGAGACAATCAGAGGAACGAAGCGAAGAGAAGAGAGAGAAGAGGAATGATGCGCAGTGGACAAGGCGTATAAGCGAACTCAGTTTAATCAATTGTTAATCAATATTTATAGTCACACAAAAATAAGTTACAAATATGTGATGAGTAACACAAGAAATGTACACATATATGCTCATATAAAAACAGACCATATTGGCAAGCGAGTAATTAACATGGTCAAAATATGACTCAATGAGGATGAATAAATTGGCTTGTCCAGAAGCCAGATTACTCTATGTGGGCTTAACATAGCAGCCGACACTACACGCCCTTACTAGTGCAAAACAAATGCCCAGTGTATCCTAGTTATATAATGGTTGTTTAACTTAACTAAGTCGATGCGGTGAACCACTTGTAAACTATCAATTATATGTAATCTACATATCTATTGACGAAAACTAGAACTAAA